GATGAAGATCAAAGACCACAGCCTTCAGTATGGATTACACCTCAACATAAAGAAAACAAAAATCCTCACAACTGGACCAATAAGCAACACCATGATAAACGGAGAAAAGATTGAAGTTGTCGAGGTTTTCGTTTTACTTGGAGCCACAGTCAACACCCATGGAAGCAGCAGTCAGGAAATCAAAAGACACATTGCATTGGGCAAATCTGCTGCAAAAGACCTCTTTAAAGTGTTGAAAAGCAAAGATGTCATCTTGAGGACTAAGGTGGGCCTGACCAAAGCCATGCTATTTTCAGTTGCCTCATATGCATGTGAAAGCTGGACAGTGAATAAGGAAGACCGAAGAAGAATCAATACCTTTAAATTATGGTGTTGGCGAAGAATATTGAATATACCATCAACTGCCAAAAGTATGAACACATCTGTCTTGGAAGAAGTACAGCCAGAGAATACTCCTTAGAAACAAGGATGGTGAGACTTCGTCTCACATACTTTGGACATGTTATCAGGAGGGACCAGTCCCTGGAGAAGGATATCATGCTTGGTAAAGTAGAGGGAGAAAGTAGAAGACCCTCAATTAGATGGATTGACACAGTGGCTGCAGCAGTGGGCTCAAACACAGCCACGATTATGAGGATGGCTCAGGACCGGGCAGTGTTTCGTTCTGTTGTATATAGAGTCCCTGTGAGTCGGAACCAACTTGACAGCACCTAACAACAACTCTGCAAGTCATAGTGGGGCTGCGATGTGTATTTTTAGTTACCAGACATTGCATTTAGTCAGTAAGTCCTGTTACAAGAAAGAATTATTTCAAATTTCCAACTTTTTGGAATATTCTGAGAAGTGGAACTGTAATCGTTTTCTGGGTGAGACCCTTCTGCTTGTCCTGATCAAGAATTTAATGGATCAGTATGACTTTCTCCTCAGATAAGTAGTCCAATCTGAAAGGTAAAGTCTTTCAATTTCTCAATTTTTTAAAATAAAAAAGTGTGATGACTTTGTTTAGTACGCATTTGGCGGCCTAGACACAGTAACTGAAAGGCAGCCCTCATCAAGCTATTGTAGTAACCCCACCACTTTGTACTATCTTTTGGTCTGATTTAATTCTCACAGTGATCCTGTTAGGTTGATATCATCCCCATTTTACAGAGAAGTGAGGCTTAGAGTTGGACAGCTACTACATGGCAGATCTGGAATTCGAACCCAAAGTGGCTGTGCTCAGGTCGACAAACTTTCTTAAAGGGCCAGATAGTAAATACTTTAGGCTTTGTGGGACTTAGAGTAGGTCACAACTACTCAACAGTTGTAGCTCAGAAGTAGCCACAGATAAGCATGCCTGTGTGCCAATAAAGCTTTATTTGCAAAAGCAAAAAGTGGGCTGGATTTGGCCCTTGGCCGACGTTTGCTGACCCCTATGTCTATAGCCTTTCCAGTTGCTTTTTCTCTGAGACTTCTTGGCTTTTAGGATTTCACTTGAAATTAAAAAGAAATGAAAGCCTCATGCAGTTTTGAGTATGAGTTATAAAATGTTAAATTTACCCTAAGTTCACAAATACTGATCAGCCGATTTTGCACATGAACTCTTACGGTGTTGGTGTACCAAGTGTAGGTTACAGTGTTTTTCTTCGCCACTTCCACTAGATGGAGGTACTTGATAGGTGTAAACCTTTTGCTTTTCCTGGTTGAAATTTTTGGAAAAAACCTTGGAACCCTTAAATATCTTCACCAATGTAAGCTCCATTCATAATGAATAGTGTTTTAGCCACCAGGATACTTCTAAGTATTTATGATGTGGCTTATGTTGCCCCAGTCTGGGCTGTTCATCTCACACTGGAGGAGCAACCCAGCAAGTTCCTGGTTTTGCATTTACAATTTTCTTGGCCTAGTTTAACTTCAGTATATGAGGTGGTGAGGTTGGTGCAGGATGGGGCAGTGTCTTCGTTCTATTGTACATGGGGTTGCTGTGAGTTGAAGGCATCTCAGTGGCACCTAACAACAGTGGCAAATGAGGTTAGATTATGAAAACCTCTTCCCTGCAAACTGGGGATCCTCCTTTTTTCTGTAGTAGTGTCCATATGAAATTTTTAATGTTCTTTCTTCACTTATTTCGGGGAATGACTTGATTTTTAATGCAGATAGTAAGGGCATAAATTATTATAATTCATTGCCATCGAGTTGATTCCGACTCATAGCGACCCTATAGGACAGAGGAGAACTGTGCCATAGAGTTTCCAAGGAGTGGCTGGTGGATTCGAACTACTTCCTTTTGGTTAACAGCCAAGCTCTTAACTACTGTGCCACCGGGGCTCTGTAAATTATTATAGGTATCTTTAATCGACTTTCAAAGGACTTGGGCGTCAGTAATGCTGTTTCTAAAGTTCATTAATCTAGCCAAAGCTTATTACTTCTGCTTTAAGGGGGGTTCTCAGGGAAACCTTTCTGTATATATTCATTGATCAAGCATTTGCTGAGCTCTTCCTAGTGCCGCTGGGCTCTGGGAATAGAAAAGGGAACAAGATAAACCCACCTGTGGGTGTTCTCAGTTTGGTGGGAGAGACTGAGGCACCTCAGGATGTGCTGAATTGCGGGGGTGGGAGGGAGATGATCAAAGATGGGGTACACATCTGCATGTTGAGCTTTACCTGCAGTGACTGGTGGGTCAGGGTGTGGCAAGATGTCATAGAGGCTCTGTTTTCCCTTTAACTGCTTCTCTAAGTCTCCTGGTCCTTTGATATCCCCATGTCAGTGAGTGACGCCACTGTCCATGCAGCTGCCCAGGACAGACACCTGGAAGTCCCCTTGAAGCCTCCCCATGCTTCACCCTTCACTGGGTTCTGGGCATTTTATCTCTAAAATACACATCCAGTCTTCATTTCCTCTCCATTGCTGCCTCCACCCTAGGTCAGGAGGCCCCCTTTCTCTCTCCCTGCACAGCAGGCTCTTACTGATCCCTTCTGGTTTCTTCCAACCTATTCTCTGCAGGAGGCCAGGCTCCAGAGGGCTTTGAGCACCATGAAATGGAGTTCAAACTCATCTTTAGGTGCTGGAGAATGTCGGCGAAGGCCTTTCATGGGAAAGAGAATGAAATCTACTCTTGCACTTTAGAAAGTTTACCATTTTGGCGGTATTGAGCGTAGCTTGGAGGGGTGGAAACCCATAAAGGAGACTTAGAATGATGTAGACACATCGAAGGAGAGCTATATCATTGCTGAAGGCCAGTGGATCCTGGCTGAAAGCAGAGAATACCAGAAGGATGTTTACCTGTGTTTTATTAACTATGCAAAGGCCTTCCACTGTGTGGATCATAACAAATTATGGATAACATTGTGAAGAATAGGAATTCCAGAACACTTAGTTGTACTCATGCAGAACCTGTACATAGACCAAGAGGCAGTCGCCCAAACAGATCAGGGGGATACTGCATTGTTTAAAGTCAGGAAAGCTGTATGTCAGGATTGTATCCAATCACCATACTTATTCAGTCTGTATGCTGAGTAAATAATCTGAGAAGCTGGACTGAATGAAGAAGAACGCAGCATCAGGATTGGAGGAAATACTCATTATCGACTTGTGATACGCAGATGACACAAGCTTGCTTGCTGAAAGTGAAGAGGACTTGAAGCACTTATTGATGAAGATCAAAGACCACAGCCTTTGGATTATACCTCAACATAAAACAAAAATCCTCACAAGTGGAACAATAAGCAACATGATAAATGGAGAAAAGATCGAAGTCAAGGATTTCATTTTACTTGGATCCACAATCAACACCCATGGAAGCAGCAGTCAGGAAATCAAAGGACGTATTGCATTGGGCAAATCTGCTGCAAAAGACCTCTTTAAAATGTTAAAAAGCAAAGACGGCACTTTGAGGACTAAGGTGTGCCTGACCCAAGCCATGGTATTTTCAGTCGCCTCATATGCATGTGAAAGCTGGGCAATGAATAAGGAAGACTGAAGAAGAATTGATGCCTTTGAATTATGGTGTTGGTGAAGAATATTGAATATACTATGGACTGCCAGAAGAACAAACAAATCTGTCTTGAAAGAAGTACAGCCAGAATGCTCCTTAGAAGCGAGGATGGTGAGACTTCGTCCCGTGTACTTTGGACATGTTGTTAGGAGGGACCAGTCCCTGGAGAAGGACATGCTTGGTGAAGTTGAGGGCCAGTGAAAAAGAGGAAGACTCTAGAGATGAATTGACCCAGTGGCTGCAACAATGGGCTCGAGCATAACAACAATTGTGAGGATGGCGCAGGACCAGGCACTGTTTTGTTCTGTTGTACATAGGGTCCCTGTGAGTTAAAACTGACTTGAAGGCACCTAACAACAACAACAAGAACATATTTGCCCTGGTGACACAATGGTTAAGCACTCGGCTGCTAACTGAAAGATTGGCAGTTTACAAACCCAACCGGTAGCTCTGCAGGAGAAAGACTTGGGGATTTGCTGCCATAAAGATTACAGCCTGGAAAACCCTATGGGGCTGTTGTACTCTGTCACATGGCTTGCTATGAATCAAATTGGCTGGACAGCACCCAACAACCACATTATTTGCCAAAAAATAGCCAATTAGGAGATGCAGAAGGAAAGCAAATACAATTTCTACTTCCACACACCCCTGCTACCACCTCCTAACGTTCTGCTGTAAATTTTTTTTATTTCTGAGGCAGGAGAGAGTGTGTGTATGTGCTTACTGTTCGTTAATACAGGTAGATTCCACCTTCAGTTTTGTTGTACTTTCCCCAGTGTTTACAGAATTAGCACTGGAACATTTACTGTATCATGGAAATGTGAGTGATTAGCACTCCCTCTGATCCCTCCCTCAACACTGACTTACTTGAAGTCTTATTTCCCTGCCTTTAACTTATATGTATTCATTTGTTTCCTTTTAGCTATTGTTAGTTTCTCTCATCCTTTGCTATACACAGTTTAACATCTTCATACAGGGCTTTGAAGGGCTTGGAGTGCCTCATAAATGTTTATGAATGGCTCGCTAAAGTGTTTGTTTGCTTTTCATTTATTTATGTGAAGCCAGTAATAGGCTATAACAGTGAATTGAATTGACAAGTGAGATTGCTAACCACCTTAACCCATTAGGGTGTAACCTTTTTTATTTTTACTTTGAAGATCATTACAGCTACTCAGAGAATCGTGTGGAAAAGGATGGCCTTATCCTTACGAGCCGTGGTCCTGGAACCAGCTTCGAGTTTGCTCTTGCTATTGTTGAGGCCCTGAGTGGCAAGGAGGTGGCTGATCAGGTGAAGGCTCCGTTGGTTCTTAAAGATTAGAGCAGAAATATGTGATGGTGAGTTAGAGAAATATGCTGTATGCAAACTAGTGTCACTGTGTTCACTTCAGAGAAAAACGGCTGCTTTCTGTAGAGGGAAGATGACATTGCTCTCTTTGTGGTGTGCAGTTGTGAGGTAACTACACAGAGATTTATTTCTCAGCCTACAGACTGTGTCCGTACATTTCAGAAGCTTGTCTGCAGAATAAACAGGACATTTAGCAAACTAATGATTGTTGCTTCTTTTGTCTCCTGTTTCTTTTGTGAAAACAAATTCATTATCAGCGCCATTTGCAGCTCTTAGCTGTTGATACAGCTACTGAAATAAGAGAACAGTGAATGCATCTTGCACAGCAAGGAGGAAAAGCATAAAAGCAAAGATTTAAGAGGTTTGTGAGTTTTCTCCCTTCCATTAACAGTATTTTTCATGTGCTATTGAAGAATGCCAATGAAGGTGACTGTAATGGTGAATTTTTGTAAACCAATTCCTCTTTTTCTATGGTGGAAAGAGCCCTCAGATGGAATTGAAAGCTTTTCCAGGCTGGCCGCGTCTCTTTTCCCATCCACAGGTAACTGCACTAGCTTCCTTGTGAAACCCCCACACCCAGTGTAGTGTGCTTGGGTAAAGCATGCTCTGAGCGAGCATGTGACCAGGCCTAGCCAACCAGAGCCTTATTCACCTACTTCTTACTTATCCACTATCTTGTTATTTGACATTTTCCATTAACGAAAGTAGTAAAAAAAATCTACTTAAATCACCTTAAAGCCAGTAAGGATCCATGTGTTTTGAGAGAGTGCCTCCCTCCTGAGCCCCAAGTCTTTGATCCCACCCCTGTCCCCAGTTTTGGATGCAAATAAAGGAGAAAAAATAAAAAGGCCAATTGCTGGGACCTTGGGCCATTAACCTGAACACGTGCTTCTCAGCCAGCCTGCAGGCTGGTGGCTGCCTACCATAGGCACAGAGCTGCAGCTGACCCCAAGATCTGCTGTTAGCATGCTTGGAGGCGCTGGGGCCAGCAGGCAGCGGTCCCAGGTGGGTGGGCGTTTCAGTGGAGAGCAAGAACTCCACGTGAGTCGGGGTAGGGTAGTTGCCCCTCCGGCTGCAAATCCTAGCCCAGTCAGCTCTACTTGTGGTTTGAAATGGCACAAGCTGACCTGCCCACCCGAAGTATGGAAGTTATGGAGGTGAGCTGCTACCAGTGGCGGCTGCAGGGGAGGAGGGAGCATCCCCATGGGGCTGCCTCTGAAAGGAGTCCTGGAACCTGAGGAGCCTTTGGTAGCTGAAGTTTCGCACTAGCTGATTTTTGCGTAATGACCCGGTTTTTGGAGCTTAACGATGTTAACAAGTGAGGAGTGGGTGTATACTCTCAACCACGTGACCCAGGTGAGACCAGTTAGCTGGTGAGCCTCAGTTCTGAGGCCTCTGACAAAGCGCCTGGTATTCTCTCTCTGCTGGGGTGACTAAGAGGATATGTTGTCAGCATGCAGCTGCTGGCAGCCGTCTTGTCGCTGTGGGGACGAACTGCTGGAAATGGCTCCAACACAGGGATGGAGATGGAGTGCTGTGACGTTGCTTGACCCCGAGACCCTGAATCACCTGAGCAAGAACAACTCTTGGATTTAGTAACAGAAGGCAACCAGTTACCTTGGCTTTTTGTTTGTGTTTTGTCGCTTTTAAGAGACTGAACAATACAGTAGGGAAGGAATTAAGTAGTGGTCAGGCTTTACAAAAACGGAGCTTTTTATTGCACAGAATGGCATTTTGTTGTATGTTCCTAATCAATGGGCATCCTTTCTTTCCTTCCATTCCTTTTCCCCCTTTCCTCCTGTGGTATACTGCTAGGGTCAGCAAACATTTTCTTTTTTTTTTTTATTGTACTTTAGATGGAGGTTTACAGAACAAATAGTTTCTCATTAAACAGGTGGTATACATACTGTTTTATGACAGTGGTTAACAACCCCACGACATGTCAACACTGTCCCTTCTGAACCTTGGGTTCCCTATTACCTGCTTTGCCGTCCCCTCCTGCCTTCTAGTCCTTATCTCCGGACTGTTGTGCCCCGTGCCCCATTAGTCTCATTTTGAGCAAACATATTCTTAAAGAACCAGTCAGATAGGAAGTATTTAAGGCTTGTGAGCTACACAGTCTCTGTCACAAGTATTCAGCTGAACTCTCCTTGTGGTGTGAAAGCCGCCATAGACCATACGTTAAGGAACGCGCATGGCTGTGTTCCAGTAAAACTTCACTGACAAAAACAGGTGGCAGTGGGGATTTGACCACTAGGTTATAATCTGTTGACCCCTGCTCTAGAAGGCAAGGCAGATGTTAATTTTTTTAAATGCAGATATATGCAGTTGCACATTTTTGTAAGCGCTTTGAAGAATATAAAGAGAATGCTACAGGAGAGGGAACAGGAGAGACGTTATTTATTTACATGGGGGGTACGGTAGGGTAGTTCTCTGAGGAAGTGACATTTAAGCTGAGACCTGAAGTAAGAGTAGGGGTTGGATTTTCACTGTTTCAACAGACATTTGTCCAGAACCTACTGTATGCCCGGCCCTGTTGGGGTGCTGGGGATAAGCTGTTGAAAACAGCCTGTCCTCATAGCGCTTATATTCTGGAGGAGGAGGAGAAAAACATAAGTTTAAGATCTGTGTCAGATAGTTATATGCTTTGAAGAAAAACGAAGTAAGGAGGCAGAAGGCACGTTGATGGCACAATGGTTAAGTGCTCGGTTGCTTACCGAAAGGTTGGTTCAAACCTACCCAGTGGCTCCACAGGAGAAAGACCTGGTGACCTGCTCCTATTAAGATTACAACCTAGGAAACCCTGTGGGGCAGTTCTGTTCTGTCCTGTAGGGTCTCTTATGAGTCGGAATCAACTTGATGGCATGCAGCAACAAGAAAGAGGCAGGGTTGGGGTATTTCCTGTAAGGTGGTTAAAGAAGGCCTCTCTGAAAGGGGGAATCAGAAGAAATGTGGGTGTGAGCAAGACAGATGTCTGAGAACGGCAGCTGTCCATTCCTGGCAGAAGGAACAGGAAGTTCAACTGCCTGAGACCAGCATGTGCTTGGGGTATGGAGGAGCAGCAGTGGAATTTGGAGGAGGTGAAGGTAGAGAGATAGCCAGAGCCATGATGAGGCTCACAATTTAGGAATGGACTGTGAGATGGGCCCTCTTGGAAGAGGGACCCAACTCGGTTTAAAGTCTGACTCTGTTGTGAAGGGACCCTAGGGGAGTGAGGGTGCAGTCCTGGGGGCAGGATGCAGGAGGCATGGACTAGGATGACTGGTGCCGGCGGATTAGATGTGGGGTTTGAGAGGAAGAGACATCCAGGAGATTTCCACGTTTCTGATGGCAGAATGGAGATTCCATGAACATAGCTGGAGAGGGAGCAGTTGGGGGTAGGGGTGAATTTAGAGTTCAGATTGATGAATATGAGACACCTGTGGTCATAACTTAAAAGTACATTTTTAATAAGAAAATTCTTCCCTTTAATAAGGAAATTCCTGGACACCTGTTAATAGTGAAAGTCACAAACTGCTGATCTGAAAATAATTTATTGTTAACAATGAACATTTGTAAAGTATCCCCAACTTTCTGAGGTGTTCTACCAACAGCCCTGTCTTAGGCTGAGTTCTCTAGAGGAGCAAAACAGTGAAATGTATGTGTATACATATATATAGAAAGAAAGAGAGAGAGATTTAATTCACAGAAATGGCTCGTGCAGTTGTGGAGGCTGGCAAGTCCCAAATCTGTGGGTCAGTCATCAGGCTGCTGGCTTGTGTCCCAAGAACTAAAGGTCAGAGGATGATGAGTCGGGTGCAGGATCCAGAGAGAGAGAGAGCGCGCCTTACTGGAACATCCATTTATATACTGGAGACAGGCTACACCCCCAAGGAAACTCTTACAACTGATTGGCTGCTAAGATCAGATCAGATCTCATCATGGAGGTGATTATATCAGATCTCATCATTGAGGTGTTTACAGTATGTGACATTATGGAAGAGCAATCAGTCTAATGTCTGTCAAACCACCGAGAATCATAGCCTATCCAAGTTGACACATTAGCCATCACGGTCCACCTGTGGTGCAGTGAATTACTTAATATGGCCCTTATAGCCATAGTCTTTGTGAGTCCCACACAAATTGGGAGGAACTATGCAAGTAAGGTGCTTGTGGCCCACCAAGGGGATTGAACAGCTTGTTGCTAATACAAATAAGGTGTGTGGAACCTGTGATAGTTAAGGTTATGTATCAGCTTGGCTGGGCCATGATTTTCAGTGATTTGGCAGTTATGTAATTTGTCAGTTATATAATAACCTTGGTGGTATAGTGGTTAAGAGTTTGGCTGCAAAGCAAAAGGTCAGCAGTTAGAATCCACCAGGTGCTCCTATGGGGCAGTTCTACTCTGTCCTACAGGGTCGCTATGAGTCAGAATTGACTTGACGGCAATGGGTTTGGTTTTTTTTTTTTTGTTTGTAATGATATAGTCATCCTCCATTTTGTGCTGACGTAATTATCCTCCGTTTTGTGATGTGTTGTAAATCCTAGCCTTTATGCCTATGGTCATGGTCCCACTTGGCAGTGAGTTGTCCATTATTTTAATGAGGCAGGATTAGGGTGGGATGTATCTTGAGTCACTGCCTTACTAGAGGATGTGGCTCAAGTCACCACCCTTACCACCTTTATTCAAGTCACACCCTTGCACTGCCATCCTCAAGTAAGGGAAGTTTCCTTGAGGGTATGATCTGCATCCAATATATATGAAAGCTCTGGCAAAGTTTGCTCTCTTGCTCTGAATCCTGCATCGGCTCATCATCATCTGACCTCTGGCTCTTGGAATTTGAGCCTGCAGCCTATCATCTGACCTGATTTGCCAGCTTCTGCAGACTTGTGAGTCAGCAACCTGTCACCTGATCTGCCAATTTGGATTTGTCAGCCCCTGCAACCACATGAATCAGGAGAAGCCTCCAGCCTGATGCCTGATGCACGAATTTGGAACTTGCCAGCCTCCACAACTGTGTGATCCATTTCCCTAATGGTTCGTGAGTTCTCTGAGACATTTTAGCAAATAAGAAACCCAAAGACAGGAGAGAGAGTACTGAGGGGAGGAGGAGTAGTTGATGTTAAAGATGATGGAGTGGTACAGCAGTTTGGAAAGGTTGGACATTTGGGACGTCTTTCACTTCTGCTTTATAGGAACCAGCTTTGTGCTGATCCTTCTAA